AATTTTACAAAACAAATATTAATTTCAACAGTCTCATTTATGCAGAGAGAGTTATTAAATAAGGAAATAACCTCAAAACTGAAGTCCTTTTAGAGAAGTTTTTCTTTTATTGTGATTTTTAAACCATAGCTACAGAGGGTTCATGACATTTTAATAGTTCTTTGGAATACTTACTTTAAATAAAACGGCTAATCAATCTTGAAAAATAAATTCTTTCTATTGCTTTGGATTTCAGTTTTTTCATATTAAGTAAAGCAGGTCAACAGGTTTAAAAAGATCATCATAAGTTTTACCAGTTGTCTAAATCTATGACAGGAATTCATCAAGATATGCAAAATGCCTATTCTGTGCTAACATGAGACTTCTTTGGAACAGTCTTACTTGCAAATTCGGGCTGTTATTCGGGTTGAAAACTGCCTGATAGATATTTAGTCAAGAGTTCTGTGTTTTAAGTTATTCTAAAAAATTAAGTTATGGGTCTGTGATTAATAAAGTATTTTGTATCTTAGCAGTTTATCAATCTATGGGTTTATTTTAAAAGTTAAGGGTTGCTAGTTGGTAAAGAGGGGTCTGGGCCTCCAGACTGAGGGAGGGCTTTCTGGAAGACACTGTGAATCATAGCTCAGAATCAGTCATTGCTCAGCATATACACATCAGCAAGCCCTCAGAACAACTTCCAAATAGTGTGAAGAACCCATGTGCTTATAATGAACTTTGTGATGAACAAAGGAAACACTATACTTATATTTGAAATGTGCACATGAAAAGTTCTGTTCTTCAAAACAGTAGTTCAGAAAAATGTATCACTTAAAATTGGAAATCAGGTTTATGGCCATAGAGACCAGTGTCCAGAATTAAATTATATAGAACATCAGAACAAACAAAATAAGAAAAAGGTACCAAAGTCAAGGGTCAGAAAAAAAAACACCTGGAAACATGTTGTCCCAGAGTCCAGCTTACTCAGTGCATGGTAGTGTTACAAATAGAAACTGTACCCACAGAAATACTTAGGGCAGAATGGGATCTGATGGTTTCCTACACAAGCAGGAAGGCATGCAGGAAAATGTTTTATAACAATATTTGCAAACTCAGTTAATTGTAGAATGATGATAAGCATAGAATATCAAGAATAAATCCGATTCTTACCATCTGAGACTGACTTCTAGGGCATCCATTGATATCTTCAACTTTTTCATTTGCTAAAACCAAGAAATAAAATAAAAGAGAGAAAAAAGAACAACATGCTTAAGCAATGAAGAGAAACATACACAAAAGGAGACTTAAAACAAATTAAAGGACATCAAACAGAAACTGCTGCTTCCTCTACTGTCTCCCAAACCATGAATGGAGAGGACACACTTGTTGGCAGCCGTCACTTCCATGTGTACAATCAAGAAAAAAAAGAAAGAAAGAAAAAGGAAAAAAAAAAAGAGTGAGAAGGAAGTTGCTGCTGGCTGTCCAGCGTGTGCCAAATGACTGCTGACATGAAACCTTTCACAATTGTCCCCGCGGGATCAGGATCCAGTTTCAAGGAGTCTCAGAGTGTATGAGAGGCTCCGGATAAGGAAATGCACACATGGGAGACATATGGTTTAATGAAGCTTGCATTTCTAACAATGCAGTATATGTAAAGATACAGTTCCAGCTATTTCAAAGTATGGCCAGGCTGCCTTTTTCAAACAGTTTCATGTAAACACATTTAATTAAGTTGGAGCGAGCCACATTCATTTCTGAGACACATGGAATAATTCGGTACACATTCGACCTACAAGGTAAATTAGTAGAAGGGTAGGGAGCAGAGCCTCTCCTGCTTTGTCAGAGGGCAGGTCTCACCAATGATCTGGATGATCTCTGCGAGGAGGACCCCGTCTGCAATATCCTGCTGCAAATCCTTGATCAGCCTCTTGTGGCCAGACTTTGCTAGGTAGTGGTTGGCCCAGTCAGTGTAAATCTGTTGAACAGAGGGAGGGAAGAAGTGAGTTGAGTTAGGATGAGAGAGAAGAGAGACAATAAAACTGCTTCAGGCAAATGTGAGATTCAAAGGGAAGCTATACTGGATCACATTCCAGCTAAAGAAGTCATAGCTCTAAAGGAAATAGTTGTAAAATAACTTTTAAAAGGCTCTTTCCCCTACTTATCTCTTGTTTCAAAGAGGATGATTCATTCCTTTCACAATCATGGACTAGTCACTTGTGACCAAGTAAAACTCCCTTCCCGGATGACTCCTGAGGAAACTGCTACTGTGAACTAGTCTCTCTCTCTCTCTCTCTCTCTCTCTCTCTCTCTCTCTCTCCCTTCCTCCCATTATTTTAAAAATAATTCTGTCTGTGTAAAAGGAAGCCACCTGGACTGATTTATACAGGAACTTAATAAAAATGTGTATCTCTGAGAAGACTTTATTGAATTTGCCATATGAGATTCTATATATGACAATATTTTGGCATCATTTTTTGAAATAATTGCAAATGCCTTCCTGTCTAAGATATTTTGTTTGGACTGTCACCTTTCATTTAAGCTTCTTGAAATGTTTTTATATTAGAACACATAGGCAGCAAATGGAGTTATAACACAGAAATCACAATACAGAATAGAGAAATGGATTGCAAGCCACAAAGTTGGCAATTGGACTTAGAAAAGCAGTGACTCCAATAACTGCTCATGATATAAAGAAAAGCTGAAACTTCAAAATGTCACAAAAAATAAATGTTAATAACTGTTTGCCTATTATCACAACCTAATAAGAAAGAACAGAAATAATCATGAAGACGATTCAATTTCATGGCTGGTAAGTGTGGCCATATTGGTAGCTCTATTATAAGACAGTCTAATATATGATCATACACACACACACACACACACACACACACACACACACAAAAATTAAAAATAAAGCCAGGCGTGGTGTCGCATGCCTTTAGTCTCAGCACTCGGGAGGCATAGGCAGGTGGATTTCTGTGAGTTCAAGGCCAGCCTGGTCTACATGGTGAGTT